TATTCTATTCTATTCTATTCTATTCTATTCTATTCTATTCTATTCTATTCTATTCTATTCTATTCGATGCTGGGGGAAAGATCTCGTTACATACGCTTTTCAGAAGAGGGAACACTGATGTGTTTGTCCCCGCTGTTCACAAGGGATCAAGCTTCTGTTTGAATTGATCAATGAGTCTGTAAAGTTTGGGGCCACTGTGAAGAACTCTCAACTCTCTCATAACTGCAAACCCTCCTGGACAGGATTCTAGCTGGAGCTGTGTACCCAGAACAAGCGTCTTGAAATTGTCTGCTTCGCAAGTTTTTGAAGGGGTCCACACTTGCCAGCATGGAAGGGGTGAAGCTCCATACAGCTTTCCCCCATCCCCACCACACACCTACACCTACACCCACACCCACGCATGCATGAATCCAACATCTGCATGCAAGCCAGCTCCAAATTGTAGACGTTTAGGTCAGGCTGGACAGCTTTACGAGAGGCTGTACAGAAACCGATGGAGACAGAGGCTTTGCAAAAGTAACCAGCTAGGCTCTCTGCCAACCTCCGCTTTTGGGAGATTCTGGCTGGACGATGCTACCTGGACCGTTCCAGCTAAACGCAATTTCTTTCTCTCTCTCTCTCTCTCTCTCTCTTTTTTTTTTTTGCTGCAATGAATCAATTACAAATAATACTGTGTGTGTCCTTGTGGCAAACCGAGTTTCGGGGTCACTGTGATTTTGAAATCGAGGCAAGAAAAAAAAAAGAGAGATCCATCTCATCCAGCTTCCTGTTTCCCACCAGAGCCAGCCAGTTTCTTTTAGAAAGCTGGCAAGCTGGGTTTCCTCCTCCCCACCCTAAAGTTTTTCCCTTGACATCTGAGAGAGATTTACAGAGGAACAGAGTTGGAAGGGACCTTGGAGGTCATCTAGTCCAACCCCCCCACCCTACACCATTTCTGACAGATGGCAGTCCAGTCTCTTCTTGAAAGCTTCCAATGATGAAGCTCCCACAGCTTCCGGAGGCAACTTCTGTTCCATCGGTTGATTGTTCTCACTGTCAGGAAATTTCTTCTTATTTCCAGGTCGAATCTCTCCTTGATCAGTTTCCATCCGTTATTCCTTGTCTGGCCTTCAGGTGCCTTGGAAAATAGGTTGACCCCCTCCTCTCTGTGGCAGCCCCTCACATACTGGAAGACTGCTATCTTGTCTCCCCTAGTCCTTCTTCTCATTAAACTAGACATACCCAGTTCCTGCAACAGTGGCTAAGATGATGAGCTTGTCGATCGAAAGGTCAGCAGTTCAGCGGTTCGAATCCCTAGTGCCGCGTAACGGGGTGAGCTCCCATGACTTGTCCCAGCTTCTGCCAATTTAGCAGTTCGAAAGAACGTAAAAAAATGCAAGTAGAAAAAATAGGGACCACCTTTGGTGGGAAGGTAATGGCGTTCCAGGCGCCTTTGGTGTTGAGTCATGCCGCCACATGACCACGGAGACGTCTTCGGACAGCGCTGGCTCTTCGGCTTTGAAACGGAGATGAGCACCGCCCCCTAGAGTCGGGAACAACTAGCACATACGTGCAAGGGAAACCTTTACCTTTACCTTTATATTATGTATGTGTGTGTGTGTGTGTGTGTGTATATATCTCTATATCTATCTATCTATCTATCTATCTATCTATCTATCTATCTATCTACATTGCTCCTAGAAGCACGAAGCCAAAAACACCAGCCTAAAGATGACGAATGAGACTTCGTCGAAACGTTGCCAAGACACCTCCAATTTTACACGGGAGAAAACCTGAATAACCAAAGACCTACATATATATATATATATAATCTAAATCAAATTTCTTCAGTGTTGTTTTTTCTTCTACCTTTAAGTCCGATTCTCTCAAATCTTTTAGGAAGAAAATGAACCCTACCAAAACATACTTGCAGCTGAAAATGCGAGGATGGCTCAATTAGCATTGGCAGACTTCCCTGCTGCCCAAGGCTTCCCCGTTCTTCAGCCATTCAGTCTCCTTTTCAATGAGAGAAAGGGATTGGCAACATCAGCTTCCAGCTCCCAAGGAGAAGCTGCCCACGGTGTGATTAGGCTGATAAAACTCGGAGAACCTCAAAGAGAGAGGCATTGTAATTGCAGAGGTGCCAAGCCTCAGTAGCATCTCCCAACCTTGGATA